TATTTTTGGAGTGAGTGTCCATTTGTATTTGCCCAATTAGTGAGGTTTTTGTACCACAAGAACAATTAAAGTTCATACTTGAATGCCACACTTGACTGCTTGGACAGGAAAAACAAATTTTTAATCAATTGCTTAAATTTCACTGGACGATCATTCTAGCATGCTCCCTCAATAATTACTGGCTGTCACTTTTTTTCCCTGGTTTTTGAAGAACTGGCATATCTCATCTTCAAATGTTCTACATATCTAAACAATCATGGGTTGTTCTCTACAGGTTTGCCTACAATACTACCACCTTTAATATCTTTTATTGTTTCCTTCCCATCTGGGAAATACATTCTGACATCCAAGCATGACTAATTTCACAAAGTTCTCCCTAATACTACCAAATCTACTCCACCACAGACAAAACCAATCTTATCTTCCCTGACACTCCTATACCTCTTTGTACATTTCTCTATTTTGCTGAAAGCTACACTATAGTATGAATTGCTAGAGAACAGAGACTGTGGCTTCTTCAATCTGTATCACTCTTCCCTAAGGAACTAAACACCTAACAGCGCCACAAAATGCTGACTGGGTAAATAAAACATTTCCATTTCTTAATTGAACACACACGTGCACACACACACACCCCACACACAGAAACTTGTTTATTGGAAACTGTATTGGCTGAACATAAATTAAGACCAAAAACAAAAGTACACTCTTATATGTGTCTTTGAATTTGTTTGTATAGCTACCTTTATAGGTTCGTTTTCTTTTTATAGGTAAGGACAGAGAATCTTCCATTTACAGTTTGGTTATTCAACATCTCAGTGCCTCTCTCAATTACAGCCACTTATGGCACTTGAGAGTCAGCAGACAGCTCCGACCAAGGACAAGCTTACATAGAGCCACTTAGCCTGCTAATGAGAAGGCAACCAGGTGTGAGGGAAAACACCAGAAAGAAAAAGGCAAGCAGGAGGGTGAAGAAAATAGAAAAAAAAAAAAACAACTGCAAGAAGGGCAGAAAAATGTATTATATCAAATGATACTATTCTATCAGTAAAAGGTAATAAGACTGAATTTCTTTTGTAATTAATAAACGATCTAAAAGGGATCTTTTAAAAGGAGCTATAAGAAATATTGTTTTAAGCAATATGATTATTTTTGTCAGGGAAGACAAAAAATGTAATTTATTTTAGATAAAAATAAATGTCTGCAAATATATGTTCATAGTTTCATTACTTTATAGTTCCATATGGTTCGAAAGAGACATAAAAAGCAATGCACCAGAAATTATTGCAATTCACTCTAGGTCTTGAGAATTAAATGGAAACGTTTTGAGTTTGAGTACTAGATTGTTTTAATTAAAAATTAAAAGTTAAATTAATTTCTGCTTTAAATCAAACTTTGTAAAGCAATCACATATATAAGATCTCCAAAACGGAAAATAAAATAAAAATGGCATTCAATCCATCAATTTAAAAAAAGCTGGAATACATGATAAATATGAATGTTCAAGGTACATTTTCTAATCCTAAAATAGAAAGTTTAAAAAGTAGAGAAATTCATTGATTCATCAAATATTTACTCAATGCCAGGTACTGCTCTAGTTGGTATGAATTCAGGAGTGAACTGAACAGATGAAAATTGCACTCACAGAGCTTACCTCTGCATTCCAGTTGTGGAGCAGTAAGTGAGAGTAAGAGATAGATACATGCATACACACACACACACACACACACGCATGCGAACACACACACAGAAAATGTGAGTCTGTGTCTATACGTATACATATACATACACACATTTTTACATATTTATAAAATATATTACCATACTATTATGTGTAATAGATATAGGTGTAAACAATTTACATACATTTTCTATTTACATGTAAAATTCTTACTTTTTTGGCAGGTTAAATTCACATTTAACCCTTAAAACAATTCTCTGAGGTTAGTACGGATATTAGTGACAAGACCAGAATTTGAATGCAAAAAAGCCAAATTCAGACTCTACATCCTCAAGCCTTTCAAATAACATACTTATTGTTACTATGTTTCTTACACGGATGTTTACAATGAAAGAAAATAAACTTCCCAAAATCTGTATTTTAGAAAATGATCATCTCAGAACTTCATGACACTGATTACTGTTAGAAGATACTTTCACATTTTGGTATTAAAACAAGATTCCAGGAATCCCATTAAAAAATAATGTGGAATTAAGATGGAAAATATGTTATTTTCTCAGGCCAGGTGCCATTAATTCCAATATTATGTGGCATCACCTACTGAACTATCCAGTCAAGGTTCATGAATCAATGAAGAAGTGACATGAACAAACATGTTTTTAAAAGACTATTCTGTTGTCAGTTAATAGATGGCTTTCAGCCTAAAATGACAGTGATATTTTTTAAAAAGGTCACTGATAATTGAGACTTAAAAACAATACAATGAGTTAGAGAAATTTTTATGAAGAAATACCTTTTTGTCTATGAGAGTTAATCCTTAAATCATTCTTAAAACTAGACCAACAGTTACATATTAGGTATTACTAATATAATTTTATTATTTGTAAAAAGAAGTATATCACTTTCACATCCATCATTTAAATTTTTTTTGGATATAAATAGGAAAATGTGAGTCAATGATCTGAAAACAGACATAATTATCACATTTATGACAGTCCATCTCCATACTTTCAAGTAGGCCTTCAAATGTTATCTTTTTACTTATGATGGTCAAATTCTTTTTCCAACTACCCCCTTCGGGTCTCACCCAACTAGCCTATGGGTGATTTTCAAATATCTTCTACTTTGATTTCTTATTGATAGGCATCATCTTATGCCACCTCTTTCTAGATAGTGTTCAGATTGTTTCTTCATCTCTATTTCCAATATCATAATCCTCATCACTGTGTAAAATAGAAAATAAATTTTCACCCTGTTTTACAGATTAGAAAGCTGTAATTCACAAATATTACCATGGTTATTACATAATATTTTAAAGACAAAAGTCCAAGACAATTTGTACTTAGTTCAACCGCCTGTCACTCATCTTGTCTCACTGGTCTACACTCCTCAATAGTACCTCTTAGAACACCATTCAATCCCCTCTCAAATCTGCCTCGCAAATGATTCCCAGAACAACTTAAGACTTCATTTTTCTCATGATGATTTTCTGCTCTGTAATCCACAAAAGCACTGTTTTAATTTTCACAGAGTCTGCTTTTCAAGAATTTATAAAGGATCAATACAATTTTTGTATTACAAACACCACTTTTTGACACCACTCTACTCCAAATAGAATTTCCATAACAGCGAGCTTGTGTTGCTGACTGGCACCTCAGACAAGACTATTCTGAACAGAGTGGCTTGTCAGCTAATGCGATCCCCTGTACACTTGTTCAAAGTTTTAAACACTGTGCTGAAGTCTCATCTTCCCAAAAAATTAGCCTCAACTGTTTTGCACAAACTCACCTCTAAATGCTTGGTAAACTTTAAATCAGTAGTACAAAGTTTAGTCCTGCATGCACCCATATTTTCTACTGTTAGCCTATGGCCCCAAGAAA